CCCCAAAACCCCAAAACCCCAAAACCCCTCAGTACAAGAATCAACAAATATAGAAGGTAATGAAAACATTTAGATAAATATCTTTTAAATGTTAAGCATTTACAATTAACTATTAACCATATAAACAAATTGAAATCGAACTCTAAGTTTAGAATCAGATCTCTTAAATTAATTTACTTGGATTTTCTCAATCAAGTTAAATCAATTTTAATTTTCTAAAGTATTCAATCTGACTCTTCAGATTGGTCAATTTTTGGAGTATTAGAGTCCATTTCTCCGTATTATTCCATATCAAAGTAATGCTGCTCCTAATGACGGAGGATTTTAGATTTCTAGACTAGGTTCTTGCATGTCACACAGCGGAGTAAAGATTTTTTGTGAGTTTCCATATGTTTTTCAAGATTACTTTTTTGTGTAAATGCTTTTCCACAATAATTTACAGGACATCTAAAAGGCCGTTCATGTGAATGAGATCTAAGATGGTCAAATAGATTCCCCCACTTCTTCATCATCATATCACAATTCTCATATTAGCAGAGGAAATGTGACAACCACCTTTTGTTTTACTATCTGAACACCTTGATCCACTAGAAAGTCCTTATTTTTGGAATAAATCTCTGTCTAGGAAGCTAATCTTCGGTAATATCTCTTCCTTCTATTATTTAAATTTGAAGAGAATCGGCTATATTGAGACGCTTCCTTATTTAGTCTGCTTCTCGCTAATATTTCTATTCTTGATTGTCTATAGTATTGCTAATGGTAGAAGATTCTTCTTGCTTCGCTCTAGCTTAATTAATATTATTATACTCATTAATTTTCTAAACTCCTTCCTAGTTCTATGTTTACTGCTTATTGTTTAATCTTGCAGAGCAATAGCAAGTACAAGAGCATTTAACTGGTTCTTATGAGGCTTATGCTACTTAAGGAAGCTTTATGATAGTGTTTTCTGATGTATGTTATTATTAAAGGTACATATTAGGGAATATCTCAGAGTTGCTTGTCAATCCTTGGTGTACTAGTTGCGGCCTTAATTCTTCTTTTTGATGAGAAATTTGTTGATTTTGGCCTTAGACTGTGTAGTTATTTTGAAGGCTTTGCTATTACGGTACCATCCAAATAAGTGGTTAATAGTTTTATTAGGGCTGTTGCATTTGCTATTGTTACTAGTATTAAGGGATTTAAAGAGTGTTTTGATAAAGATATCTGTTTTATGTAAGAGGGTAACTGCTATTCTAGAGTTGTAAATAGTTTGAATACATTATAAAGTATTAATTCTAAATATTCTAAGTCTTAAACTACTTATAATGTCCACATTTAATATTCGTGGGGTTTTGGGGTTTTGGGGAGATCGGAAGA